ATAAAATTATCATAATTGAACACCCCAAATACTGGAGACTCTGAGGTCATGTGACCGGTCGATGCCAGGGCCAATTTCGCTGACCGGAAGCAAGATACCGTGGGTACGAGGTTGGATTAAACTAGAATAATGATATACAATGTATGCGTAAATTATCCATGTATACGCTCACCAAAACACGGGATATATAATATTTGTAAACACCATTGGTAATACTATAAAATACAAGTAATTCTAGCTTCAATAACTAAAATTTTCATTTGGCTTAGAATAATGTTTCTGACAAACAGTGACAAAACACTTTGGACAAAATAGCAAAAGAGCGTATATTTACAACACAATCGATCCCCGCACCCCCCGTTCAATGTTATGTGTGGAAATACAGGCGCAAAATGTTTCTTGCCAGCCACCCAACATTGTTTAGGGTGGGGGAGGGAGGGATAGTGGTTTTATGTTGAACAGTATTTGGAAAGGCGCAGATATGTCTATATTATATCACTGTCCAAAAACCTTTTGTCACCGATTGTAGTCGAATATTTCATTTTTGTTTAATTATTATCTTGTGTGTATTGTGTTGTTGTATACGTAACTTTTCAATGTAATTTATGTTTATATATGATGACCCTAGCGTAAGCCCCTTAGATGAGCATCTTGCTGTTGGGGCAAACGCGTGAATTTCTCATTAAATATTGTTAAAACACTTAGCGACGCCGAAGGAGGGTGAGATTCTAGCGGGGTCCGGGGGCATGCCCCCAGGAAAAAAATTGAATCTAGTGTTTCTGAAATGCCATTTCCTGCACTTTAGATAGAGATTTACAAAGTTCTCATGCTAACTTTTTTGTTGTAAAATATCTCAAACTGTTTTGTCGGCACGCATAACTGAAATAATATAAATTAACTTTGTGGTTTATTATTGGCCATTGCTAAAAAGTGAGAGGCCCAAAGACATTTAGCCCCCCCCCCAAACTAAAAATGTGGGAGGGGCAGGCCGCCTCACCCTTCTCTCCCCCCCCCCCCCCTCGCTTCCGACGCCCCTGTTTTGGCAGTTCGTCTCACTAACAATTTTTCGGCCCCGGAATAAGCAAATTCAGAGTGTCGACTGCGCATCTAAATGACGCATTTTGCGTCAGGATAAATTGCAGTTGAATCATAACATGCCTGTAGCTGAGGCTGGACGCATTAAATATATGTATATCAAAATGTTCAGCAGTTCAATCATTACTAGAGCCACCAATCGTTGATGTTTCCGACGCTTTAATTATCAATATTCGCTGACTACTTATAGAGCGGGAAGGCCAAAGCTTGTGCCGGGTTAAAGTGCCAACTTTTATGTGATGTTAGAACCAACCAAATGAACATACGAGAATACGGAGTGCAAAGAAGAGATTTGGGCGATCGGGAGCATTCCATGCAAAAGGAACCAGATCGCAAAGCAAAAATGCCAATTGGCAGGAGAGGGGCAGACTTTACATTCACTAGGATCATGAATCGTAGTAAACCAATTTGAGCTAGTAAGACAAACTAATAGTATCTACAAAAAGATTGAACACCTGAAAGTACTCACAAGATAAATAAGTTTTTTTGTAAAATGTACCGGTTTTAACGTCGTTACTTTTATATATATGCACCATGAAAAATATCTACCTGTGAAATTCTACTCAGGAGGTAAAATTGTATATTGCAGCGGAGGTTTTTTTCTTTCGTTTTGTGTATCTTTCAATGTACTTTGTTGGGTAAGAGGTGAGGGTAAGAACTCGTATGTGAGAAATTGCCTATTTTCGAATTACAAATATAAATACTGCAAGTTTCCAATTAACATTTAAAATATATACATAAATAGTAAAAGTACTATACGTAAATATTTACCATTGCCTAATATCAACATTTACTCATCCTCGTCTCCAGGCCCATGCTCGCACGGTCGATTGTAATGGTTATTCCGCTCTAAAGGAATGTTGCAGGTGGCAATGGATGCGGGTTAGCAACAACAATACAGCGGCTGGCAAAGCATTGTTGGAGTGAAATTTTTTATGCAAAATTACAGTTTATTTTATTAGAGAGATTGAAGTACTGTATTAACCACCATGCAACCTGAACCTTACATTTTCAAATATCATAAAAGCATGCCATGGAGTGGAATTTCCTTTGCGTTAATGTGTACTACAGCTCGCAGATAATTTTTCAATACAACACAACATTCTTATAAATATTCCAATCATTGGAAAATTAAGAATCTCAATATCCCCGATAACTTTGAATGTTTATGCTAAGAAACTCAGACTTTTAATAATAAATATTTTGTTTCTGTGGTGTACCATCCACCCGACCCGTTGTACCAAGAATTTGTTATGTTAAATTAAATTAAATTATTTATCCGAACTGAGATGTCAGCAGATTAAACTCTCATAACCTAGTGCAAGGATAATCATTCCTGGAGATATCAATCAACTTCGGATACATGATTTCAGCAGCCAGAATAATTTAGAAGAATTAGTTAAGAAATCCACTCAAGTCCAGAGGGTATTGTAAATGTTTTTAACAAACTGACCACAATTGTGAAAACAGTCTACTGTCTTTAAAGGTTTGGTAAGACTGACCATTTGGCGGTTATGGTTTTCTTATCGACTCTCCGGAAAACCAGTAAGAAAACATGCATGTATATTTCAGGGATGTTAGAGAACACAGAAAGATTGATATGGCGAACATACTAAAAGCCTACGATAATGCTGTTAAAGTGGCAGTTAATCCATATAAAGACGCGATTGTTTCAATATTAATGACTCTTTGCCTTTAATTAAAGCTTCTACGCGTGACCCATCTTGTATGCCTCCACTTATTAAACATCTATACAGCGTTTGTACTCATTCCCCAGGGACCAACTCACCACAAGCCATGGCGGCCATGTTGATGTTCCAGAAAAAGAATCTAATTAAAATTCTTTTCAATTGGAACACCAATATGGCGGCTGTGACGTCATGTGGAAACGCTCTACAGGGTGTATAAAAAAAGCAGACCTTTAGAAATCAAGCATATTGTTAAAATTTGAATGCCTTTTCAATGGCACATACAGGGTGTATAAAAAAAAACGCAACCTCGGAATTTCCCAAGAAATCGACATGGTTTTAAAGACAAAAGATTTTAGGCGCCTGGGAATTTAAAATGTCAAAATTATTGCACACGCGAGTGCATAAAGCAAAATTTATGCATTTATTTAATGCACAACAACAGTATAATAAGATCTATTAGCAATTCGATTTCAATTCCCAGGGGCTTAAAATATTTTATGCTTAAGAATTGCAAAGTGATTTCTTAGGAAATTCCGAGGTTGCGTTTTTTTTTATACAGGGTGTCTCAAAAAAAACCAAAATCATTGAAATTGACGTATTGTTCGATATTCAATGCCCTAGCACTAAGTTAATCCCACGAGTGCATAAAAGATTGACATAACTGCTATAATGAATGGTAATACTCAGCGTAAACTTGTTATGTCAGGCATAAAGTACTAAACCCACGAATTTACGAAGCATTTTTAAATTCCCATGAGCAAACAAACGTCCACTTTACAAAGATATTTTAATTTTTTAAAACAAATTAATCACCCTGTCAAAATCCTTTGTGTTACGGCATTGAAATTCGAACAATACGTTATTTCAATGATTTTGGGTTTTTTTGAGACACCCTGTATATGCTGAACCGTGCAGGTGCGTGAAATATTGATGGGGTGCATATATTAGAAAAAGGAGACATTTAGAAATTGAAATAACGTTTAAACAAAAGATTGTCTGCTCCTGGGAACAATCTGCCATGCATATTGTACGTAGATCGCATATGCACTCCATAATATTTCACGCACCACGGTTCAGCATATGTGCAATTGAAAAGGCATTCAAATTTTAACAATATAGAATATGCTTGATTTCTAAAGGTCTCCGTTTTTTTATACACCCTGTGTATAAGATACGAAACAAGCAAATTAAAAAAAGGAGTCAGTAGTGATATTCAAGATCAAATTAAGAACGCATTGGTTAGAATCAGTTCGTACTGTCTGTGATGAGAATAGAAAGAGACAAGAGTCAAAAGGATGGTGGAGCACTCTCAGGAAAGTTACCGGCAGAAATAGTAAAATTCGCAATTTTAGTTCGTCTATTGATCCATTTGTATTTCCAAAACATAAATACTGATAAACAGCATACGACTCTGGAAATGTTACCTATTCGACAAGGAAAGCCATACCCAGGGTCGTAGCTAGCATTTATAGTTGGGGGGGGGGGGTGTTGGCCAAAAATTTCCGAATGACGAAGAAAATTTCCGAATATTTCATGGCATACGAAGCCACGAAGGTGTTTACTATCCGGAAAATGGAGAAGCAATTTACAAACAAAATACACATAGTTTACGCAAAGACATATTACAGAAGCATGCGGTGCCGTAGGAAGCTCTGACTTTTTTATTGAGGGCTGGGAACGAGGGCAGAAGGCCCGAGGAAATTTAAAAATTTAGATTCTCTGAAATGCCATTTCCTGGACTTTGGGGAAGCTTTGACAGAATTCTGATGGTCAAAAAACGGAGTTTCAGTATGATATTTGTGACGTTACTCTGAGTATGCATCCACGGCAAGCTGAAAATTTTGCTTGGCCACGGTGGGAGTCGAACCCGCGACCTTTGGGATACTAGTCCAATGTTCTGCCAACTGAGCTACGTGGTGAAGTCGGTTCGAGTTGTTAATAGAGTTTTAGTATGTCGAAATTTACAATTTGCTTACAATTTAGTAGAACTAAATGGGCGAAGGCGTATTTAATTAACTATATATTGCAGGAAAGTGTATAGGTAATAATTATGATTTTTTGCGGTTGTCATGGATAATGTAACCGCTTAAAATTAATCAATAGACCTTTCCCCTTATGAGTGAAATTTTGATCTAGACAAGCCTAAACAAAAATTTCATCACAGCTTGAAAGAGCATCACAAAATTAGTAATATTCCGAAGTTTCGTTGAATGTTGTAAAATGGGGATAATATAGCCTTGCGAAGTTTGCCGTTTTTCAGTCATTGTATTACAATAATCAGTTTGATCATCTGATTATCAATTTCCCGTTTGTAATGGAAAATGACTGAAAAACGGCAAACTTCGCAAGGCTATATTATCCGCATTTTACAACATTCAACGGAACTTCGGAATATTACTAATTTTGTGATGCTCTTTCAAGCTGTGGTGAAATTTTGTCCAGGCTTGTCTAGATCAAAATTTCAATCAAATGGGGGAGATTAAGGTCTATTGTGGAGGTGTGCCAATCCGAATCGAATCCGATCGGATTCGTTCGGATTTCGGAACCAAAATGTAAATTTCGGATCGGATTGATAAAGTTGTTTCGTAGTCGGATCGGACTTCTATATCAGAAATAAAATGAATTAATTATCCATGCACTATCGCCTCTTGACATGTATTTCTTGCTTTTATATTTATTTGGTTAAATATTTCAACTTGAATGAGAAATTTATTTTATTAAAGAATTATTCGGTTCGGATCGGATTGGAATTCTTTTTCAAAACTCGGATCGGATTCGGATTAGATAATTTCGGATCGGATTTTAAACATTAGGCAATTGTCGGATTATAAACGTCCAATCCGATCCGATGCACACCTGTAATCTATTGTCAGTATTTTAAAGGTATATTATTTAACTGATAAAGGTGTGCATGATTTTGAAAAGAGAATGATTCTGATCAGCAAATTATTGTAAGGGCTGCTGCCCCCAGTCCCCCCACCCTCCCCCCGACTGCTACGGCCCTGAGAAGTAATAAACCGAAAAAAAATTTACCGATTTACGATTTGTTTCACGTTATCCATGTAAATGCCGTTATTTCGTAAATCAGTTTTATACCAATGGTTTATACTGACAATACCATTTTATAATATTTTCTCTGTTTAAACAACTAAAATTTTGTTATATTATTATTGCCGTAATTTTCCGAATGGCCAACCCGATTTTCCGAATGTGTTAATTCTACAAAAGTTGGGGGGAGGGGTTAACCACCCCCCGATACCCCCTCGCTACGGCCCTGGCCATACCTGTTGTTGTTGTGTGTACTGTTGAGAATTTTATGATGAAACTAAGCACGGCCGTAGCTAGACGCGATAATTGGGGAAGGTGCATATTCATATACTCATGTTCACATACCGTAAAAATCATAGATATAGGAGATCTAGATTGCTAACGCATACCTAGCGCAGGCGGGGCCTACATGATAAATCCAAGATGGCGGTACAACAGGGCAAAAAGACTATAGATTCTATTACGAAAATCAGGATTTTTGCATTTTTTGCCGTCGCATTGTTTTGAAACTTATTCGGTCAAATTTTATGGTAAAGAGACACTTACCGCGAAGATTTTGAGCATATATATGATTGAATTGGATGAAAACTCGCAAAATTATCCAGCGATAAAAGTTCGTGTATAGTACTGATATAGTACTATATATGTAACTTGTACAGTTTTGCATTAATTTTTGCTCACTATTTGCATAAAAAGCAAATTATAACAGACCATAGATGATAGACCCTCATCCAGTGCTCTCATCAGTTTACTTCTCTAACAAGCAAGGAGGGGGGGAGGGGTACATAACAGTTCATTTTTCATAATTATGAGGACAGAGCAGATGATGATGAGAGATGCAAGTATAAAACACCATTCACAAGGCTAGATGTTAACATAGCACAGTATTTCTGGCAATAAAACGCTCCAACTAACCAACTGACCATTTCACACGAACTTTTATCGCTGGATAATTTTGCGAGTTTTCATCCAATTCAATCATATATATGCTCAAAATCTTCGCGGTAAGTTTCTCTTTACCAGAAAATTTGACCGAATAAGTTTCGAAACAATGCGATGGCAAGAAATGCAAAAATCCTGATTTTCATAAGAGAATCTATAGTCTTTTTGCCCTGTTGTACCGCCATCTTGGATTTATCATGTAGGCCCCGCCTGCGCTAGGTATGCGTTAGCAATCTAGTTATCTAGATCTCCTATATCTATGGTAAAAACAGTAGCTTTGAAAAGAAATCCGTCGGGCATAACACGAATATATATGAATATACACCCTCCCCCCCCCCACAATTATCGATCTAGCGACGGCCCTGAAACTAAGACGAACTTCGCCAGGTCTGGACGGTCTTCCTTTTTTGGTTGAGTAAAATTTCGCTCAGGATCTGGCATAAATAGTATCTAATATATTAAACTAGTAAACAGCAATTCGACTTTGAAGTCGATCGTGAGGACAGCCATATTGATGACAACACAGACCTGGAGGCCTACTTTGACGAACCGATTGCTGATGATGTTTGGCTGGAAGACTATCAACGAAGGCGGGAAGAAAACAACAAAAGAATGGCAGAGTTAGAACTTCGTTGGAATGAAAGCAAGCCTGTAACAGCTTTGTAATTTTTCGCATTCTTTTGTTGTGATTTACATTTTAAATAGCACGTAGTATAAAATGTTTTGTCTTTCGTGTAGAATGTATATCATATACTGAAGTTTTATATTTCAGTGGTTAGGTGCAGTTGTGGCAACTGTAGCATTGAACTGTTGCAGAATGCTAAAGAGTGTTGTTGTTGCAAAGAAATCGAGGGTTGTGTGAAATTTCTCGGCAACTTTTCTGAGGACTCCATGCTGCAAAGTGAGCGAGACGAACTAACAAGCACAACCGATCATCCCGGTTTTCCAGTTATTTGCTTAAACAGATGGTCCTTGGTCGGGCTTCGAGCTTGCTGCTGACAATTTTAAAACCCGCGATGGCCATCATTATAAGCAAAGTGGTTGAATAGAAAAGTATATTAATTGCATGTTGCTATAATAAATAGTAACTGCCCAAACTTGGCCTTATGTCATGCTGTCGGCGATTATTCTCCTCCTGACGCATTCGAATGAGTGGGCTCGCAAACAAACGTGTTATTTTAGGCCATGTTATGTGTCACTAATATTTCTCTTTGATCTTGACGCCAATCCCGTCCCAATCCCTAACCCTATTGTGTGCGTAATATGAACTTAGAACCAACAAACGTATGTGACCATCATGGGATCGGTTTTGCAAAGCCAAAGGGATACCTTTATATGTTTATTCGCTCGATCAGGAAGAGAAAAATCGCTGACAAAATCTCTAGTGTGAACCAGCTAAGAAGCCCCTCATGCATTTTGCAAATTTCCAATCTGGGCGTGATGCAGCCTGTGAAAAGTCTAAAGGAGAGCCAACAAAGTATATTTATCTGATCAGCCTTTTTGAAATAGACAATGACGTATTCAAGATTGTTTGATAGGGTTAATAGTAAGTGTTTGTGGTTTTTTAGATGTATTTTCAGACCCAGCCAGGAACAGTTGGTAAAATGCATGATCTGGTTGGAATTGAAAAAGTTGCCTAGAGCGCTGCACTGAAATTGCAGGGCCGCATATTTCAATTCCTGTCAGAGGGCTTACTGTAAGTTGCATTTTTGCAACTGTTCCCGTCTAGGTCTTATTTCTGTTCGAGTATTCCATCAACAAACACCATTTACCTGTACAGCGAATACATACACTATTGTCTATCTGGTTACAAATGACGAGAAAGGCCAGTTTAGTTTGCAATTTCATCTAATGATCACAATTTAAATATTATATTGCCATTTAGATTTCTAAGAGTTGTTGCATACCGGCAATTTACTCGCATGGTCCATGGTCGAAATGCTGTCGTCTTTAGGGTTTGTAATCCATGTGAATATATATACACTTTATGACCTGACCAGGAACGACTGCAAAAACAGTGCAGCACAAGGTCCTCTCGTAGGAGTTGAAACTTTGGAGTAACCTATCATATACTGAGTCAAAAATTAATCTTTATGTTCCTTTAATTAAAGTGTATTTGACACGAAATTTTTTATTTTCTTAAATGAAAAACTCTTTAAGCTGTAGTGTAATTTATTTTTCAGTTTCTTGTTTTAACGGTTTGATCCCGGGATATTTCAATTTGCTTGATGTGTGTGACCATACACTGGTTATTACAGACTTATACGGCTGCATTTCAAGCCGCAACAAGGGCAACTCCAAATGGGTTCAGAAGAACTTTTTCCAACCATGAAACCCATGTCTTCAACTTCGAAGACTGTATTAAATTCATACGATTGATAATGTACGACGAACTGTCTTTCTTACCATTTATTTGAAGGAGTTTGTTTTGGCCGTCGCCGTCGCGCTGCCATCCTAAAATCGTATTGTCTCTATTGAGTTATATATCAACACGGCTCTTAGCCAATCAACGTTCAGAAATTACAAATGCTATATTACAAATATAATTCATAGTGACTAGTGTTCTCTTGGCCTTGCTTATACTTTCGTTATTTCTTAATTTAATTATCTTCTCCTTATGTAATATAATGCGTGTATATTGAGGCTAGCGTGTTTCAATAAAGTTTGTACGCGTATTATGTATGAACAATCAATGCTTTCTATTAAGTTTTTTTTACTCAAAACAAGTGGACTAATTGTTTTATAGTCGTCGTCGTGTATCATTAATGTAATGATGTCACACTTCAAATCCAGCCATATTTCCATGAGTTGATAGACTTGGATAATTTTATCCAGGTTTATGAATAAACCTTTAGTGTGCAGTAATGCAAGATAATTTAATTCCCAAAATATCCTGATTTTTGGTAATCTATACTATATTATATAATACCTTATTGAATTCTGATCGTTTAATTGGCTGTTTATGGTCACGTGATATTGAATAGAAAATTCCATTTCCCAAGAGTGCAATGGAATACGTTCCATTGCACTCTTGCGAGTGCAATTGTACTATACGTTTTATTCCATTGCACTCTTTGTGTTTTCGATAAATCGCATCCGTCAAAATGCTTCTCGTACGGTAATCGCAGTTTATTTTAACCCGATTTTCGAAACTCAGTAAATGGGATTTAATGCAAATACATGACTCGTCAAAATGGCTGGAGCTTACAGTAAACGTTTTAATATTAGTCTATTTTGGTATTATATAAAACAAATAATGAATGTTTTCATTCGTGCAATGGTAAGAATATTTTCATTCGGTGAAAGATGGAATGTTCCATTCAACTCGGCTGTCGCCTCGTTGAATGGAACATTCCATCTTTCACCTCATGAAAATATTCTTACCATTGCACTCATAAAAACATTCATTATTTGTATAATGTACTGCAGTGGCGTAGCCAGGGTCGAATGTTTGAATGGGGGGAAGCAGCGAGTGGCGAAGCCACGAATGAGGTAGTGGGCTTGCTTCCCCCGGGAAAATTTTTGGATACTATACATGCTGATACGAGTTTTTAAAAGTAATTAGAAGGTCATAAATCCTAAAATTCTGTCATTATTACATTGGAACAAGGCACAATACACGTGAAAATATATTTAGATTTATTGATTATATTGATTATCAACTGAAACATTTCATGATATTATAGACCTATTGTCATCATCACACATTTGCTAATTACTAAATTTTAACTAAATCCATTTTTCTGGGAGCGATATCTACAAATGTTTGTACAAGGTTTTCTATAATTAATTACAATTCTTTGGATTTGACTTGATGCTTACCTCACCTAACCCCCCTTCTTCCCCAATATCTCGCCGGACTTCACTTCTCGTTAGAATGGTTATGAAGACCATTGGAGGGGAGTACTGACAGACTACACTCAGTATAATATTAGATAATAATACGTCCAAATACGCCACATTACTGCCTTCTACTAAAAGTCCTCTTTCTGGATGAACCTCGTAAACATCACCATTAGTACCAGTCCACGGCCAATATAAAGATATTAGACAATACAATTGTCACGACATTTTCAGATATCTATCAGTGCAAGTTCAAATTTCTTTACTAGGCATATTTGCCAACATCGACAAAGGTTCGTTCACTTCATTTTTATTAATTCGCTTTCTCGCTCGATATTTTTGGGAAAAGGATGATTTGTTTGACATTGTAAGCTATTGACCCCAACCGGTCGTAGTGTACTTATGAAAATTTCAACATGTTTCATTTATCAAATTTGTTGCAGTGACTAACAGGAAAAAACACGCAATAATATGTATATTGAGACAAATTAATTTTTGATATTATCCGGGAGAAAATGCATACAAGGCAGCCGAGCAGCAATTTATAATTTTTTGTTCAACAAATCGCAGGAAGATATATATAAAGTTCTTTGTATTTATTCAAGATAGTTAACAAAAATCGAACATAATTCAGGTTATATTTCTCGGTTTATTTAACCGGCGCTCCTTGTATATGTATAGCCCATTCAGTATCATTTTATGGTCATTATCAGTCATAGGAGACACGCGCTAGCTTCTATAGATATAGAGCGTTTGCACATGACGTCGAACCGCCATGTTGGTGTTCCAATTCAAAAGAAATAAAAAGACTCTTTTGTCTGGAACACCAACACGGCCGCCATAGCTTTAGTTAAGTTGGTCCCTGGGGAATGAGTGCAAACGCTCTATAACCTAATGGCATTATACCCTAAATCTGAAAAGTCTTTAACCTATATGTATGGCGTGTCTAACTGCATGACTATGTATTAATCTTGAACGAACAAACTGTATAAAACGCATCAAAGCACGACCATCACGCACGTTTTGCTATTACTTTATATTTTTAAATCGTATTTTAATTGGAAACAGACGACAAAACCAAATGAACATTGTTTCGTACTGCATTAATAATAGTTTGCTAGAAAGGATATATAATATAGATGTACAAATTTAAATAAAAATATTGTTAATCCTTTTTGTTTCGTGGACAATCAACCACATTTTTGTGACCTTTCATTGGCTGCTTGCACATCTGGCGCACTTCTTAGTTTAGGAGGATGATTACCCTGGCTGCCAATTGCAGCTGTAGGAACTAAAATAACAGAATGTCACAAACTTAGGATGGTCAACCATCATTGCATTATTCACTAGAGTACCGCTCACGGGAAAGTTAACAGTCCCGTTCCCGTCCCGCGGGACGAGAAGTTCTTCCCGCGAGATGAAAGTAACTTTTCATCGTTAGTGAGGGTCACCGAGACAAAAAGAAGAAGCGAAGCGTCCTTATAAAGTTCATGTGTGGGCTGGCATTTCGAAGCGTGGGCCAACCGGCATAACCGTTTTCACTGGATGCATGCAGGATTTTTTGTTGAAACTATTTTGAGAAAAACTTTGCTTCCCTTCATTTCATCACATTTTCCCAAAGGCCATCGCTTTCGACAAGACAACGATCCGAAACATACGTGTAACTTGGCGAAAAGCATTCTTTGAGGACGAAGCGGTAAATTGGAGGCGAACACCGCCAGAGACTCCTAATCTTAATCCCACTGAACCCGTGTGGCATGAGCTTAAACATCATCTAAGAACAGTGGTTAAACCAAGAACGAAGGATGCTTAAGTTGACGGTATTACCCAATTTTGGGCTCAAGCGATGACCGTCGAAAAATGTAAAAGATATACACATATACAGAATTACCAATATCAATTCAGTACTGGTAGTGAACGACATTATGCTAGTAGAAACATGAAAAATTAAATCTAAAAGTTCAAGTAGTGCTGGAAACCTAGGAGCTAAGTTAGTGAATACAGTATTTAAAAAGGTCGAACTAAAAAATAGAAATTGATGAGTTAATAGAGACCTTACGATTTTAGGACGGCAACGCGACGACAACGGCCAAAACAAACTGCTTCGAATAAATGGTAGCAAAGATAATTCGTTGTATATTATCAATCGTATGAATTTATTAGTCTTAGAAGTTGAAGATATGGGTTTTATGAATGGAATTTTATGACTGAATCCTGTTTGAAGTTGCACTTGTTGCGGCTTGAAATGCAGCCGTTGTATCAAGACGTGAAAATCAGTGATTTGGCGTTGTAAACAGTATCTTGTAATTACTCAATTATTTTCAATGATCTTATTGTATTGGTAGCCGTTGCCGTCGCGTTGCCTTCTAAAATCGTAAGGTCTCTAAGGTCTCTATTAAGACGCGGAAACCGAGCTAGGGCAAAAGCATTACAAATACGTTAAATTAACTTGCAAATATAAATATAGGCGAAATAATAATAACTTACTGACCGAGAGTGAGGGCAGTACGGGAAAATATCCAACCGAGGTCTTGCTGTATTGACCGAGCGATAGCGAAGTCAATACAGCAAGACCGAGGTTGGATATTTTCCCGTACTGCGCGAACGGTTGAGGTCAGTAAGTTTTTTATTATATGGCATTGTACGTTTGTAAAAAATGGAAGTAAAGGTCACGCGAGGGCAAAGTACAAAGTCCGAAACATTTGCAAAAATAAACAATTGTAAAAAATGTTCTCTTGGTTAATAACCACTTTGGATAGTATTTCAAGAAAAATACGAAAATATACGTATTTCGTCATTTAATCAAAGACAACAAATGTGAAAACAAAAAATTACGAAACAAGTACGTTTTTGGTTCGCTTCATCTCATATTTATGTCTATTTTATCTAACAAAAACAGAAATTTTCAGGGGAAAATTATAAATATGTGGCTGCTTTAGTTGTATTTTTTATTTAGGACGGTGTCAAATTCCTCCTGTCACATAGTCAAAACACAAATATTCCTGACTGCTCCTATACTTATATTGTAAAATTTACCTTGCAATTTTGACTTTCGCTAACAAAAACGTATTGAGAAAGTTCCCATAGCAGTTGCTCCTTTTTTATTTTAGGTTGATTTTTCTTCGTTGTGAATAGTTTTGAAAGATTTTTAGACACTTTTTCTGTTTGAAACTCGGCTTTCATCGCAGGGCAATAAAAATTGCGTACGGGAAAATCCTGCCTCGTCAGCAGCCAATCAAATTGCGCGATTCATCAAAACAAATGCTTGCCATATAATAAATGTTCTTATTTAATTGTAACTTGTGCACCAAAGTTTTAATTGTCATTCACATGCATTGTGTTCTCTGAAAATATTTATATTAGAGTCTTAGAGAGGTTAAAAAGATACTCGGGGCCCGCTTCACGGGTACTCGTCATTTTGTTTAGAAATTTTTTCTAGTATTTGCATGTTTAATTAACCATACTTTTTTTCTGTTTGTTGCGATAGACTATCATCGTCTATGACCTTTTGCAAAGGAACACATACGGAATATAAGAAAGAAAATGTACTATAAACATTGATTTAATTTTTGTAGTTTCCTTTATTTCGTGCTTACAAATAGTATTTGTGCGAAATTGTAGTACGCGCGATAAGATTTTTATATTCAGGAGCGGGATTCCAATCTCGTGGGATTCGCTGAAGGATTGTTAACTTTCCCGTGAGCGGTGTTGGATCAGAACTAATTTGAAAATACCTGGGTTTGTTGGAGGAACATCCACAAGTTACATTCTATCCCTTGTATTCCTTTTTTGAATAGCTTCTTCTCTTGACTGCTTATTAAGCATAGTATATGCATGGGAGGTGGTGTTTGTTCCTTCAGTTCATCTATAGTTTTTTTCTCGCAAATAGCGTCTATCATGGATTGTGATATATGTCCTCCACATAATCTATTAAAAACAAAAAATGTATATTTATACTGTTTTTCATCAAAAACAATTGAAAGGAGTCCTCTTCATTGTCAATTGTTTGATGTTATAAACCGCTCTAAACTATGTAGTGGTGGCATTCAGAGAAACTTTGCCACACTGTACACTGTATGTAATTGTAAATGACTAACCAATCACCTTACCAAAGTTTTGCTTGACTGGAACCTTTCTGACAACTGCTTCTCCATTCATGAACTTGGGATAAACAACATTTGCATTTGGTATAATTTCATTTGTATAGCTTGACCCTTTTTTAATGGTTTAAGAGGATGGCGCGTCTTGTTAGAACGGCGAATTTGTCGTGATTTCCGAGCAGCCAGTTTATCCCATTGAACTATAAGTAAACTGGAAGGCTATAACTCCTACGATGAAGGCCTATAATTCTTTGAAGCCGATGCGCGGGAAAATCAGCTTTCAAAAGGACTAAGGAGAGTTGCGAGGAGTGAAAAAATTCGATCAAAAGTTTTTTTTCGAGCGAAAATGTCCAAGAAAAACACTTTTTCCATGGGAATACTACAATGATAATTGGATTCAAACCATGTTTTCCAATTTGTTCCGACTGTTTTACATCTCTCTGCAGCAAAACGTGAGGAATTTTGCTTTTGCATTTTGAAAAAATGATGACGTGTGGACGTGCCGAAGGAAACCTCGCTCTTTAACTCGAAAAAGTACTATAAAACATTTTGACAGTCCAAAAACTTAGTGTCTGCTAACCCCAAGGTATTGTTATTTTTCCTGAGCTTTTAGTCCTTGTTTTATTCCTTCTAAAGCATGAATAAATTGAATTTTCCAGTGATGTGATTTTCGTTACCGCATCTTCTTGTGGGGATTTATATGAGCACGTATATGGCAGTCAAGCTAGCTTTGATAATGCTTATTTTAACTGTCAAAAGTAAGTCGTGGGTACTTGAAAATAAATTTGCGAATGTATTTAATACTTTTCTACATAATTTGTATCATAAAATCTCTTAACTCTTTTTGGAAAGTCTCATAACTGAGAAAAACCAAACATTTTCGCGCGGTTTTTTGACAAATTTTGTTTTGGCTCAGTTGGCTCTGTAATATTTTAGCAGTTGAACGATATTTATTTACTGTGAGTACGTGAGTGAAAAGATTGACTGTGTTAGTATGCTCTAAAATAAAAGGAAAGGGGGAAAGAAAATTAAAGGAGTAAAATTCATCGATATATAAAGTGTGTATTTTTCAAATTGCAAAAAGGACTGGCACAACCTACAAAGCACGGCTTCAATCCCCCCCCCTGAGTTAGCCTTCCAGTTTACTTATAGTTCAGTGGTTTATCCCTATTGCCTTCGTTGATTGGTTGTTTAAGGAGATTTTTGTGAGTCGGCAACAGTATTTGCGTACGTCGCCGCATCAACCTTTAGGCTGGTAATGATCCCAGACCTTCTATGGGGGTGTTTTTCCAGTCTAAAAGTGCTAACGATGGGTTTTGACCAGAATTTTGGCTTTTGTCTCTGCTCGGCCATTAGATTGTGGGTAACGAGGGCTGGAAGGTAAATGTTTAAACTGCCAATCTCTTGAAAATTCTGTGGCAGAAAACTGAGGTCGGTTATCCGTTATCACTGTATCCGAGATTCCATTTCGTGCAAACTAGACTAATTTGCAGGCTACTATGACTTTATCAGCGGTAGTTCTCGTAAGTTATTAGATTTCGAAGAATCCACCCCAGTGGTCTACAAGCAAAACAAAGTGCTGTTTTCCAAGCTCAAAAAGTTTCCCAGGGACGGAATGGTATTGGGAATGGTTTTAATTCTTTACAACATTGTACAGGTTAATACGTCTGCCATGTTGGGCGTTTTGAAGTCTTTAACATCTGCGTTCACGAGTGTTCAATATAATACCTCACGGGCTCTCCGAAGACGTAATTCTATGTCAATGTGAGATCGGCGAATCTGCGTCAGCATTTCTTTTCTCATTGATGTGGGGACTATTAAACGTTCACCGGCGGAAACGTGTCCATTATGCACTGTCTCTTGGATCTAGGCCATCATTCCTTACTCTGCATGGTATTATCTGGCGGTGTCTCGCGCTTGAACTAGTTGAGTTTTTCCGGAGAAATAGACAGATTCTCTGAATCAGGGGCGCCGGAAGAAATGTGAAGCGGCGGGGGCAGCCATTTCAAAAGGGCGCTTGCTTCTCAGACTTAATTTTCCTGAGCAGCATCAACCTCGTACCCGGGCTCTTTCCACTACGCGCCTCGCTATTTTCTTAATTATTTTGTTCTTATGTTACTTTTTTAAAGCGAAGCGCGTAGTGAAAAAAGCCTGGGTACGAGGTTGGGCAGCAATATTTGTTAAAACGTTACTGTATGGATACTCGATTATTTTTGGCTATTATGGGTCGCAAACGTCGACATTCATTGCAGTCCAGCGACACCGGAACGATGTGAAGGCAAGGGGGCAGATTTTCGTGAAAGGGCACTTTTGAATTGATATATACTAAGAGATGTTTGCAAAACATCGGGAGTTGAACTTCGCCTAATCATGTTTTCCATTTATTGGATGATACGGGTGTGAGGGGGTTCTCTGCTAGGCGATTGTGCTATTCTTGAAGCTCGATGACTGCATTTCTTGCGTTTTCTGAAGCAGATTCGTAAAGAATTGCACTAGCTTTTCTGACAATTCTCTATTTCGCAAAGGCAATCATTTAAATTGAGAGGGCACCTTTGCCCCCCTTGCCCCTCCTGGTAAAGGGCAACGGGGGCCGCTGCCCCTCCTGCCCCCCAGTTCCGGCGTCCTTGCTCTGTATGGTCGATCTCTTTCAGGGCTCGTATCTCAGTCGTGTCATGACGCCAATATTCTATTGTGTTTCGAATTGCACGACTCAGGGTGTAAGATATGCACATGAGTTTGCCTTTCTTGTACTGCACGTTGAGATTGTTATTTTGGACGGCCAGCAACATTCTCTACAACTGTCTAGGCGAGCTATGTATGGGTTTGATGCAAACTGCCTTAAGCGGTTCATCATAATCGTATTCTACCGGGTGTCACAAAAAAGTACTCCGGTTTGATTCGTAATAACTTCTTAACAAGTAAAGCTTTTAAAGAGAAATAACTTGCATCAAATAGAGGAAGGACTAACATAGATTTTGATATATTACAGTTGTATTTCACTTTAAAATTCACGGAGATATTAATGTTTAAAATCGGGAGCATATTTCTGAATGTGTCTGAAATATGCAAAAAACGGCGTATCAAATACTAATCAAGATTTTCCCGACTGAAACATGCACTATTACCAGTAAATAAGTGACACTTGACAAATTGTTTATTATGAAACAAAGTATTATTATCTATAAAATACAAGCAAGATTTATTCGTCCGAAACCCGCGTGTGTTCCTAGCACGAAAACGTTTCCTTATTTCATGAGACCAATGCATAGCGAAGGATCGCCATGGATCGTTCGTAGTTCTGAATTAGGGCATGCTGTCACAATGGAATTGTGAAGGTCTTTTAACTTCTGCAAGGTTCTGAAATTTTGTTAAGAACACCCAAACTCTTTTGCCTTTCCTTAATCTTGGCAAGTTCAGAATCAACTGAGAATGAAACACAATCAAACCATACAACTCCATAAGACATAACAAGCAACTCCCCAGAGACATCCAACATTTTTGAAACAAAACGTAACAAAATAGTAGCGTTGATACTGTGATGTGCGTAGTTGGAAAAAGCAATATTATTTCCTTCATTAAAGAATAATATTCATCCTACTCTAACCGAGAAATGATCAACTCTGTTTTGAACCCATGAAAAACACAAAAAAATTAGGCTATTTAAGAAAAATGTAAGCGCCTGCTTTGCATGGTCTTTCATGTACCTTTAAGTTTGTAAAGACCTATTAAATACTTGCATAATTTTGAACGTTCATATTTCAGGAAACAATGAGCTAAGACTTACATGTAAGATGTCTAAATCTACGCCATATCCCTTACAAACCCTAACGACAATTCGCTGAAATACAAGTTAGCCTGATATGTCATTTATTAAATTAATTTAAGCAAACAAACGCTGGAGTTAATATTTGATATGCCGATTTTCGCTAATTTTAGGCACATCCCAAAATATGCTCTCGATTTTGAACATTAATATCTCCGTGAATTTCTAAGTAAAATGCAACTGTAATATATCAAAATCTAACTTAGTCCTTCCTCTATTTAATGCAAGTTATTTCTGTTTGATAGCTTTACTTGTTTAGAAGTTATTATAAATCAAACCGGAGTACGTTTTTGGGGGACACCCGGTATGGTAACGGTTTCTCGACCGAGAATATACTGATCGAAATTGCTTGTTGCCCAGACAATCGCTAGTAATTCTTTTTCAATCTGGGCGTAACGAGTTTCTGTATGTGTGAGTGGCCTCGAAGCGAAAACAACGGGTTGTCCTACTGGTCCGCCTTGCGTTAAGACAGCGCCTACAGTAGGCCAGTGTCACTAGCATCACATTCAATAGTAACTTCCATGTTGACATCGTAGTATCTCAAGACCGGCGCTTTGGCTAGAGACTTCTTGACAGTGTCATACGCTTGCTTGTGTTATTCGAGCCAACACCACTCTACATCCTTATCTTCGAGCCTTCTCAGCGGTTCGGTCATGTCCAACAATAAAGGTAAAAAATTAGCCAAATAGTTTACCATCCCGAGAAATTTTTTGAGGCCTTATGTGTCACTTGGGATAGACATGTCTAAAATCGCTTCGACTTTTGCTGGATCAGCTTTGAGGCCATCAGTGGTAATGAGGTGTCCCGTGAAACGCACTTCTGTCTGTGATCGCTTCAAATTCGATTTATTTAGCTTGAGATTCCACTCACGACATTTCTTGAAAAATACCCGTTCCTTCGTTTCCAAGCTTCGATCGATCTCCTCTCCTGCTTCTCCAAATCCCGCGATAAGGAAGTAATCTGCTATGCCTTCAACTCCATTGAGAACTGGAGCGAACTCATGC